TAGTATTTCAGGGAGCTCTCTGGGACCTCATTTATAAGGGTACTAATTCCGTTTACAAAGTCTTCACTCTAATGACCTAATTGCCTTCCAAAAGCCCCATCTCCTAATTCCATCATATTGGAGATTAGATATTAACATGAGAATTTGGGGGGGACACAAATATTCAGTCTATAGGACCATGTAAAGCATATTATAGATCTGGGGGTTAGGACAGGATATGGACATCCTTTTTGGCAGTCACTATTCAGCCCATAATAATTGTCTTTTCAAAATTCTAAAAGTATAGTATTAGGGGAACTGTTTAGTATGGGATATCAATGTCTAATTTTTCATAAATAATTCTGTGCTGGTTCATATTATTTTCCCATTATAAAAACAATTTTAGTTAGTTTGACCCTATTACAATGAACATTTTCAGAGCCCTTTTAACTGCAGCTATAATTTACATCTAAAAATAGGTTTTGTGTTACTGACATTTTGTGGGCCATGCACTATTGACACCTCTCTTGTCTAGTTGTCAAAGTGAATCAGTCAGTAGGGTTTAAAAGATGGACCACTTTAAAAAAAAACCACAAAAAACAAACACAACTTTCCAGGACTAGATTCCAATTTTAATTCAGTTATGTGTTGGAAAAGAAAATATTTGGTTCAGCTTAATTCTTGTTATAAAGTTGGGCGAGTTGTCACCTAAACTTAAACATTGTACATTAATTTGGCTCTCCTATATCCTTTTATATAATAAAGAGGAAATAGAGAGCAAAGGAGCATATTAATTCCTTTAGGTGAAAACAGGCCGTTTTAGAGGTAAGATGTAAAGAATAACTCGTGCTTTAGCTCTAAACCAGCGGTTCTCAACCTGTGGGTCACAAACAATGAAAATACATCCTGCATATCAGATATTTACATTACGATTCATAACAGTAGCAAAATTACAGTTATGAAGTAGCAATAAAAATAATTTTATGGTTGGGGTCACCACAACATGAGGAATTGTATTAAAGGGTCACGGCATTAGGAAGGTTGAGAACCACTGCGACTATCTAGAAAAATTTATTGTGAAGCCAATAGTCTCCTAACCACTACTGATTTAATTTGGGATTAGTTTGCTAAGTACATTATTTCTGGACTGTATTTTGAAACATAAAATTCTGGATGCCACAGACCAGGGGTGGGGAATGTCCGACATGTGTGCATGCTCTATAAGGCCCACAAAATCATTAGGTCTGGCCCCGCCAAGTCATTAGGGGGTGAGTTAATTAAATGTTTGACCAAGTTCAGCAGGCTAATTTTTAAGTTGATAATTTTGTATGGCCCACTTCTGATGTTATAAATATCCAAATGGCCCTTGGCAGAAAAAAGGTTCCACACTCCTGGCATAGACTATTTAATTGATGTATCCTGATTTAGATTTGGTAATATTCATAAAACATGTAAAGAAACATTCTGATATTCTGTACAGCTGAATGAGAAAGACCCTTGAATATAATACTAGAGTATAACTATTGACCATTGCTGATATTTTCATTACTTTTTTTTTCCTTTAATTCTCACCCAAGGATATGTTTTTATTAATTTTAGAGAGAAAAGAAGGAAAAGGGAGAGAAAGAAACATCAATGTGATAGAGAAACATTAAGTGGTTGCCTTCGGAATGCACTCTGACCAGGGATCAAACCCACAACCTGGGTATGTGCCCTGACTGAAAATCAACCTGCAACCTTTCAATGTATGGAATGATGCTCCAAACAACAAAACCTCACCTGGCAGAGCTAGTTGCATTACTTCTTTATCCTAGATCTTCTTCATAAAGTAATCAACAAAGATTGATTTCTAGAAGATAAGGCAAAGTTCTTGGGGGTTAGCATATCCTCCCACATAAGTTTTTGACAAACACTTTGTGCGGGTTCAGAATGAGCCACCCCAATATGTGCCTCTGTGGTGTGCAGATTACTTTGAGCTAAAGGCCAACCTAGTCACAGACTCAGGAGAAACTTCTGCCCCTCCCTTAACTACCTAGAAGGACTTGAATCAGGGGTCTCGCCCATAATAAGACAATATCAGAGATAACTTTACGTATCTGTAGACCAGGGCAGACTTCTATTTACTGAACATCTGCTCTTAGCATCCTGCAATGACCCTTTGAAGCCCCACGATGCATTCCCTCCCTAGCTCAGGGTGTCCCATATACCTCAATCGCCCTTTCTATCTTTGAACCTCTTGTGCATGTGGGGTCTCTGACTCTCTCATGTATGTGGGTTCCCATACATATGTATGTATTAAATGAGCCAGAAGAATCTGCAGGGTAGAGGGAAGTGTATTCCTCCCCACAACTTGAAATAGTCAGATATTTTCAGTAGTCATCAAGTCACCTTCTTGTTAACAACAATGATATATTGTAGTCTGTATTTTCAAAAACATTATAAAAAGATAGGTATGGCCCTAGCCGGTTTGGCTCAGTGGATAGAGCGTTGGCCTGCGGACTGGGGGGTCCCAGGTTCCATTCCGGTCAAGGGCATGTGCCTGGGTTGCGGGCACATCCCCGGTGGGAGATGTGCAGGAGGCAGCTGGTCGATGTTTCTCTCTCATCGATGTTTCTGGCTCTCTGTCTCTCTCCCTTCCTCTCTGTAAAAAAAAAATCAATAAAAATATATAAAAAAAAATAGGTATGAATAAGTTGGAACAATGATGAATTTCTAAAGATTTTGAAGGATAGTTGGGATTTTGCATTCCAAAGAACAAGTATTTGAATTCCAATGGACAAGGCAGGAGAGATTATGTGCAAAAATTGAACTTGGGACTTCATCATGGAGGCAAAACTGAAGGAGGATATTTGTAAGCAGCCAGAACAGTTTCCAAGTTGGTGTGTTCAAGTGGAATCAGTAACAATGGGCCAGACAAAAAGACACTAGTCATGGTACCAATCTGATCACTTGCTGGACGTTACACTGGAAAAATCACTTCACACCTCTGATTTTTTATATCTGCATCTATAAGTGTGATTAAAAAATACAACTTTCTCTTAGTTTTGGGGATTATGATAATTCATTGAATCTTTAGAAAAATATGAAATTCTCTAAAGTAATTTTTTTTCAATGCATTCTGTTATAACTAAAACCCATTATAAAACATGGGATATATGTAAATTGCAAATAAACCAAATTTGCTGATAACCACTGCCCAGATTCCAGCTATAGTAATTTACACTCTTTTTTTAAGAAGAGAATAAGCTTTATGCCTATTTGGACTGAAGGAAACTTTCCAGAATAGTTGCTTTCTCAAATTCAATGACAGCCTCCTCACTTGCTTTAAGAATTGTTGGTCTTCTATTGTTTTTTTGTTCTTTGTGTTTTTCTTTGTTTGTGTTTTTTTTTGTGTGTGTTTTGTTTGTTTGTTTGTTTGTTTTTTGTTTTTTTGTCAAACACACAAATTGTAAAATACTGTCTTTTATTTTTAAAACCAAAGACCAATATATGCATTGTATAACAATATCTGCATAAATGTGTATTAAAATATACTATATTAATCGATGTAGAGAAAGGAATGTAAAATCTTTTATTATTGCCATTCCTACCAGGGGGGAAAAGCTCTAGATATGGATTGGTCTAGACTAGTTAGGTTAAGGCTCTGTGAAAATTTTGTAGAATTTAGAACGTGGACTTGTCAAGATTTCTGTTATTATGATCCTTGTGTGGGTCTTCATAAACCATAATAATTGGGCATAGACTAGAGGGACAGAGCCCAATTTTTAGGAATGTCTAATGCTTTCCTCTGAGGCTTTGCCCTGAACTCAAGCCAGCTCTCTCTGCCCGAGGGAACAGAGAGAAAATGTATTTCCTACCTGTGGATGTTCTGGTTCCTTGGGATAGGATGGAGCTGCTATGCTTGAGCTATCTGGCTTAAAAAAGTCACCAAGGCTCCCAAGGATGTGCACCTGTACCCACTGCAGTGACCCAGACTTAGGAGGCCCATTTAGGTGAGCTCATCCTTCTCAGCACAAGTTAAAACTTTAATTTTGGCTTTATCTCTCAGATTTTATCCATGACTTTCTAATTTCCAGTCTTCATTCCCCTCCCCTCAGTTTCTCACTGACTTGGCTACTAGAGCACAGACTTTCTTCATTCTCTCATACCAACCTCATCTGACCTAACGGCTGGTCAGCTTTCACTCACCACTTCAGGTCAGGAGGCCCTGGATGCAAGGCAGGCAGCTGGTTATGTAATAGAAAGAGTTGACTTTTTCTTAGTGTTAATCTAAGCAAAGGAATGTTTGGGCCAAACCAAATAAACTCTTAAGGACTAGCTGCTATACAGTCACCACCAGATTTAAGATGAAATAAAGATATTTGATGTATTAGGGAGGGTTAGCAGGTTCATCTGTCGCCCAGACTTGATTAGGAGGTTTGAATTCTAAATCAGAGGAGTCCTAAAATACTTTTCTTTCTCATGACCTTGTCTGTCTCATTGTAAGACATGTGTATTATTGATAGTATTTCTAATAATTTTCTTTTAAAAATTTCTCCTTATTTACATTGTCAATGGATATTTTCTTTAACTGAATTACACTCAATGAATGCCAATAAATTCCCTTCTCATATTGGTGGATATGTAATCTATTGTTGCTTATTGTTTCAAAAACTAATTCTTCATTTTATATTTTTTCTCATGCACATACTTAATCATTTTGTTCATACTTTAGTTATCCTTTGAATGGATTGGCAAAGAAATATAAACCTAGATATATGTATATATGCATGCAAGGTGAGGCAAAAGTGATTTACAGTTGTTCATATGGAAAATAATACAAAATTAATAAATAATACATGAATAAACTTTGTGTTTTGCATACTCACAACTGCAAATCTACTGTTGCCCAATCCTGTATATTCAGTTTTGCTCATTATTAAACCTTAGTCACAATGTACTGGAACGAGTTATAGCTAGTGGCTTCAGTGAGACTTGTAGAACTCAATTATATATGTAACCCATGTTTTCTATTTCTTTAGATAATCTGGAGTCTGCTCTACCTCTCTTCCTCTGTATTGCCTTCAAATACCACACTTCGAGGAATAGTGACTGGACTTACCAATTCCACGTATAAACCAAAGAAGTCTGTTCAAGTGGGAATCTGTCAACAGGTAAAGTTATACTCCGTTTTCTTGATTATGCCCCAACAAATAAAAGCCATAAGTTGTATAAAATATTATAGAATTGAGCAAGGGACAATAAATGAGGCCAATGAGTGTGTCTGATTTGGACCTTGACTATTAGTCATCTCAAGAGTTGTTAATAATGAACAGGTGACAAACTTGAAAGTATAATTTTTCAAGGGTTAATTGGTCTTGAGTTCACTTTGCAATGACTTAGTTAAGATATCATCAGATTTCAATTTATATGGAAGAAACAAAACAGGTAGGAGATAAGAAAGTGTTAAGAGGTATATAAATAGTTACTTGTAATTTGTAGTATGTGGTTACAATTAAAATTAAGGAAATATGCTATAAATAGAAAATAAAAGATCATATACTAAGATAAACTGCTAAATTGTGCAAAGAGGAAAAAACAGCTCAATCATATAATGGTTTCACTTTTTTCTTTTTTTAAAATATATTTTTATTGATTTCAGAGAGGAAATAAGAAGGAAAGAGATAGAAACATCAATGATGAGAGAGAATTATTGATTGGCTGCCTCCTACCCACCCCTCACTGGGAATCCAGCTGGCAACCCAGGCATGTGCTCTGACCAGGAATTGAACCGTGACCTCCTGGTTCGGGCAATGAGTTCACTTTTTCTGTGAGCATAGATTTCTATATGTAAAATAGAAATCTCAACATCAACCTAGCTCATTAGTAAATGTTAATATTAATATTTATAACATAATTGAATATTAGTAAATTTCAGTGTTATTCACTTGATATGGTTATCTAAAAATGTAGAATTAAAATTAGTTAGAAATGTTATTATGACTCTTGAAATGACTGAAAAATAAATCATCCAGTTGTATTTTTAAGTGTTTACGATAGCAGATGTAATAAAAGCTATGAGTTTAATCTCATGAATTAATAATGAAAGATTTTTTTTCCCTTTATACAGCAGGAAAATTGCAGAATAAGGTCTTTAAATTTCATAATTATTTGTACGCTCTGGTAATAAAATAAAGTAGATGCCCACATAAATGCCCTTTGGTATTTCCTTAGTATTCTCCCATGTTTTAAAAAAAAGATATTTTCAAGCAATAAGAAGTTTGACTACTTTAAAATATACTAACAAACTTCACTAATATGTAAATTCATATTCTTCAGACAACTTTCAAAGGTCGATTGCTATTTCCAGCTCATTTAACCCACATGTACAACATCTCTTTTTCTCTTTCTTTCTTAAGTATTAATACTTTTAAAAATATATTATTTCCAGTGCTCCTGTGCTATAAGCCGAAATTCAAATTACATATATAGATAATTTTTGTTATTGCCAAGAAAGCAAAAATTATTACAAAAGCAGACTGTAAATATACTGAAGACATTCAAATCTTTCATGTCATCAGTGTGTATCAATTAGTAGAACAGGGCAAATAAATGGTGATCAAATACTTAAAGTCCTAATCAGACTAATTACAGAAGAAAAAAATATCAAAGGCATCCAAATCAGAGTGAAAGAAGTAAAATTGTCTCTGTTTACAGAAACCCAAAGATTTTGCCAAAAACTATTGGAACTCATCAGTGAATTCAGTAAAGTTGCATAATACAAACAAATATTGGTATTAGGGAACAAAGTTGTTTGCAATTTAATATCAATTGTATGAAATTATGTGTGATCATTGTTTCCACAAGAGAGTGGATTGTAAAGCAAACAATTATGTTCCTTGGCATAACCAAAAAGAGAGTACCTTTCTTTTAATAAACAATAAAGTACTATCCATTTGACTAAGAGAATATCATTGCTACAAAAAATATGTAAAATCTTTCATTAAGAAATTTTCTAAACCTATAAGATTAGAAATTGTATGGTTTTAATGACCTAAGTTAACTTTAATGCAATTCCAAGTTGGAATTGCATTCTTATAGGTTTAGAAAACAGATCTGTGCTAAAGTATTTTTAAGTAACCTCAGTTATTTTTTTTCAATCAATGATTATATAAAAACTCAAACATTTTGTATTAAAAAATATTCCGTTTTAAGTGATGCTAGCTCCATTTTCTTTATACTTAGAAATCAGATTGAGATTGCTCTTATTTTTTTTGGTTGGTACTTCAGTACAGATCTGAAATCTTAACTTTTCTTCAAGTAATGTTTGCTTCCATAAACCAATTAAATGCTTTCAGGTCCTAGCACATAGCAGTCAAAGTTACATACCTCATTCCATTATTCAAGTTCCTTTTCTGAAAACTTTCTGAGTACAAGGGTATTAAAAATATTCATGAAAGATGGTATAATTGTAGCTCTAACTGGAAAATACTATTTATTTTAATGTCGATCAAGAGTGAAATATAAAAATGAAAATAGGGTTTAAATCTGTATTTCATTATTTGAAAACAGGTTACCTGAATTGCAAAGAGAAGAGCAGAAATGCCACCACCTGCAGGTGGCCCACCACTACACCCACCTCCTGATGGAGGATGGGGCTGGGTAGTGGTTGCAGCGTCTTTTATCTCCATCGGATTTTCATACGCATTCCCCAAAGCCATCACAGTATTCTTCAAAGAAATTCAGCAAATATTCAGCACCAGCTACAGTGAAATAGCATGGATATCATCCATTATGCTGGCTGTAATGTATGCAGGAGGTAAGGTTCTTTTGAATAAACATAATTCTGGATTAAGAAAACAATTCGTCCACCCCACAATGTTGTACATGTGGCATTTTGGAATAGGAAAACCCTGTTTTCATATGAGCCACTTAAAATCAACTAAACTGGTAATTGGAATGGAATTTTTAATAATTTTAGTGAATCAGGATCATAAACTATTCACATCATTCTGAGTCTTACTAGAATAGTTGTTTGAATGAGGATTTCTTTGTACAACCTAAGATTTACTAAATTATGGACCTTCTAAGAGTCCATTTAATTTGGAATAAAGTCTATAGACTACAGTGTTAGTATCATCTCTTACGATTGCTACAGTTACTAGAAATGTTTTCTCCTGAATGAGAAACTGTGAATGCTGTTGACAGTTGATAAGCCAAGGAAGTACTTCACCTTAAGCTGTGAAAATGGAGCGTGATTATGTACCTTTTGGGTCCATTCACGTTTGCATGATTGAAATAATTCTTTATCTCTGTACTCATTAAATATGACACTTTAAAATTTAAATGGTTGCCTGACAATTATCTTGTTACATTTCATATTCAAATGAGGATTATTCATGAGGGATAATGAATAAATCAAAGTACCATGTCGTTTCTGAATGTTAAATATTATATATGTATATATAGAAATGAATTAGTGCATTTGTATGCCACCTGTCTTCTTTAAATCAATTTCAACAGCAGAGCAGACTGTCTTATAGATTTTTTTAAGTCATTTATTGAAATATTTAGATTTGAGTTTTCATTTTTCAATGGCATATGTGACTTTAAGAGACAGGTATAAACTCAGAATACACTGCTTAAAGTACTCATACAAGTCATCTAGTGGAATTTGTTTCTTTCCAAGTGAGGATAACATGGCTCATAGTGATCAAACTATATCATTAGTAAAAATATCCAATATTTATTAGTATTAAATTTCAGCTAAGACCTCTCTAAATGTTTGCTGTGTGTCATATGACCTAATCTTCTTAATAATCTATAAAATAAGTATTAACTTCTCTCCATTCTGTAGCTGATGACATAGAGAGAAAACAAAATGTATTTCCAAGCCAAACAGCTCATTAGTGGCAGATAGAAATTGAGACCCTAAACATTTCATCACTGTGCTGTTCTGCCTTTCTCATGTCTCCCTCTTTACCTGAAGAAAATGACAGACCTAATTCAGGCCTTTGCCCACCAAAGTCATTTGTTTAGTGACATAATAATTATTCTTTAGTATATTGTCTGTTGTACACCAGGTAAAAATTTCCCCCAGTAATCCTGTGTGTGATTGTGTGTGTGTCTGTATTTTCCACTTTTCTGTATGTTAGCAATTTTACATTAATTCAGTATATGTCTCCCGTACCCGTTTGGTTATGTTAAATTGGTGCATTTTCCCCCAGTAACAATAGGTATCTTTAAAATGCTATTTGGCTATGTCATTGAAAAATTCTGCTTCTAAAACACTTTCTGAGATCCTCCTTTGGAAGTGGCTTGAAGGCTTATGACTGCTAGTTCTGATGACTGTAGAAGTAGTAGATATTGTGCTTCAGGTTTTCTTTCTCTGTCCCAGGGGTCAGGGTTCTTTATAATGATTTGCTAGAGCAACACACAAAGTCATCTTGTCCTGAGCTCCACAATGTGCTAATGTTAAGATATGTTGCCCCCCCCCCTTTTTTTTAATACAACAGAAACAGATTCCTTTAGTGAATTAACATTTCTATTGAATTTAGAATTCAGGTCCTTTATATTCATGATTTCATGTTGAGTAGATTGTTGATGAACTCATAAGCAAGAAAAAATTTATATAAATTTTTAATTAAGTCAAGTCTTAATTGACTTTATTAGTTTTAAGCAAACAACCTCAAAGTCCCAGCACCTTGCGGCTATACTGGTTTATTTCGCTCAAGCAATGCATTATCAAGCAGTGTTTCACCCAGTGGCTATGCCATTGCGTAAGGCTTTGTAGTGTCTCTAAATCTGCTCCGTCTGGACAGAGAATGAATGCCGGCAGCATGGAAGGTCAATGGGATATTTTAGGGGCCGGATCTGGAAGGAAAAAAAAAAAAGTATTTCTGCGCTCATTCCACTGGTTAGAACTCTTGCACCTCCTTACCTAGAGGCAGGGCTTGGGGTTGCTGGGAAACGCAGGCTTCCTGTAGCATCCAGTGAGACTCAGACAGAGCTTGATATCCCAACGATCATTCTCCATTCAGTGAACGTAGGATGTGTTTATTTTTTCTTTAATATTTGAAAGGTCTCTATTTATAGAGGCCTTTTAGAATGATGATTATAAAATAAATGCAAAGACCGTAAGGTGAAAAGGCATATAATTTCCTATAAAGCATGAATCTCTCTACCAAGAGACTAAAATATCCTATTCAACATAATGCTAATTGCATTAGCTTATGGAACATCTAAGATCTGACACACTCATTAGGGCTTAGCACTCAAGCTATTAATCACCACAGTGGGGTCACTGGGTAAGATGGAGTGTGGTCAGAGGCCTGGCCTATGATGTCAGGGCTGGAGTCTCTTGTAGTAATTAGTTGGCATCTGGGCTTTGGTAGCAAGGTATTATCTTCCCTTCTGATGTCCGTATTAAAAATGAAGCTAATAATATGTATGCAGGAAGGATGGGCAGGAATGCAAATTATGTTTATCCCTTACTTCATTCTGAGTAATGGCATTAAGTTACACAACCCATCTGCTTGTCCATATGGTCTCCTGAACTTCTAACGGATCTCAGCAATAGGTCAAACAGAGTGGTCACCCCATTAATAAAGCACTAAGTAGAGGTAGAGAACATATTAAAATTCAAACTTTCCACATTGTTTTAAATGGAAATGAGGATTTATTTTGTAAACAGTGATTACACAGGATTACCTTTTAGTGCAATCTTTAGCTTTGTTACTCTATCAAAAGATAATGTGAACGGGGTTAGCTACATAATTACTGAATACAGATTTGGAGCTGCCAGTATCTGTGAGGACCGCATGTTGTTTTTCTGGGGATGTATTTGTTACGACTTGGAAGACTCAGCCGTTTTGGAGAGGGGGGTTGGCTCTGTCTTCTTGGTAGCTTACTCTTCCGTTTTATGTGAGTGGTGAGCACCAGTTGTGTTAAAGCAAGGGTGATGGTTTCATGATGCACTGCTCTACACAGCAGACCGAGCGTTAGACCAGTGGGCTTATTTTACTGGAGGCCAAGAAGCAAAAAGTTTTAGGCATAGGAGGTTGGTGACCATAATATACAATGTGTATTTTCCTATTCTTTTTAAAGTCTAAATAAATGTATTATACTATTTTGCTTTATGCTTTAAATATTTTTCAGAATAAAGGAGACAAAGTAAGTCATATAGGGCGGTATCTTAGCTTTGATGATATAATAAAAAATTTTATTCCGTTCCTGTGCTTGAGGTACCAAAGGCTTTCATCTTAGCTTCACAAAAACTAGAGAGAACCGGGTACACATGGACAGTCTGGGCAAGCAGGCGGGGTACTTCTTATGCCTAAGCCACAGTAGAATTTTTTTTTTCATCCATGAACATAGATATTGCTGAAGTTTTCCTAGGAAGTACAGTACAGTGTGGCAGGAACTGTTATGCTCACCATTCATCCAGGGTCTCTGTGTATTTCGCAGCTTCTTTTTTTTTTTTTTATGGCAAAAATGAGACTTTTAATACATTTTTCAGAGCAGGTGTCTGGTTGTACAGGCACACATGGTACAGCTTCTTTACATGTAGGTTGAAGCCAAGTGACTGGTTCTGACCAATCAATTGTGAGTGGAGGGATATAGCCCCCCCCCAGGACACCTGGACAAGGCAGTTCCAGTTGGTGTGCATCTTCCTCTTCCCTCGTCCCTACTGCAGCAGCCTAATTTCATATGACATGGCTACAAGGGGAAGGTCCTGGGTCCACTTATACTTTGAATGAGTAAGAAACATTTTGTATTATGCTTCTGCGGTGTACTATGCAAATCAACCGAGGTTATGCTGATCAATACAAACACGAAGGGTTAGATTGTTGTGTAGCTACAATATACCAGTAAGTTATGTAAATTATGAGGGGGGACTAGTACAGACTATGGGATGACCTTACTCATTTAACTTACGTCATGAGAAGGTTTGTAGGTGTGCTACTTCTTCAAATCTCTGTTAAAGAAGAGGAAGCCTTCAGTATCTCAAGAATGCCATGGATGTTTCTTTCAGAAGAAGGAACCATTATACACTCCCTCAAACAGCATTTCTATTAGGATTGAGAATGTGCAACAGGTGTTTTTTTTTTCCAAATAACTTTTCAAAGGACCTTATAAAAATAGAAATTTTATGATTTTATATACTGTGAGTGACTTAAGTCTCATGGGTTATATCAGAGAATTGGTAATCCGCCCCCCCCCTTTTTTTTTTAAAATCTTCACCCGAGGATATTTTTTAAATTGATTTTAGAGATAGAGGAAAGGAAAGAGAGAAGGAGAGAAAAACAAACAAACAAAACATCTATATGAAAGAGAAACATCCATGGGTTTCCTCTCATATGCACCTGCAACCCGGGAATATGCCCTGACCAGGAATCGAACCCACAATGCTTCATTGCGCAGTATGATGCTCCAACCAAATAAGCCACACTGGCCAGAGCTGGAAATACTCTTTGAATGTGTACTTCTTTCTTTGTTTTAACAGTAGTGACTTTGGCTGAGTAATTACACTACTCCAGAGAAGTTTCTAAATGCTTAATCCAATGTCTGTTCTTGAGCAAGAATTTATTCATCTGGTTAGAATTACAAATGCAGATGTGGGGTTCATAGGTCTGACCTTAGGGCGAGACTTCTGGCTGTGGCAGAAACTCTAGCTTTGCCCAATTATTGCTCAAATATCTGTGATCATCAGAGGTGGGGATATAAAAGTAATCCAGTATTATAATTGGGGAGAAAGCCTTATATAATCCCATTCATTCATTTATTTACCCTACAGATAGGCATTGAGCATCTGCAGTG